ATCTTTTTGGTGGGTGAGGTCTTTTGAAATTAAAATGATGAACCACTAACCATATCTATGACCAAGAGGCAAAAACTCAATATTTTGTCTTGTTCTTGATCCTTTTAAAGGTGTTAAAAAAATCAAAAGTGAAAAAAGCTAGTTTTGGTTAGAAAATTTTTTTGTCAAATTTAATTTTAATTTTTTTTTGTTTTCTTAATAATAGATTTATTCGGATAAAGACAACAAGTCACCTCAAAATTATGAAAATGGCAAAAGCTTGATTGATTGAGAAATATTTTAATTATTAATCTCTCTTGAATTTGAAAAGTAGAGAAAAAAATTAAGGCATAAATGCAATTAGTCTTACTATGTTTGGGCATGATCAACCAAAGTTTGTTAATTTATTTAATAGCCTTGGAATTAATGTGGCACTTACTATCCTATTTGGGTTATCTTAGGAGAGTTTTATAAAGTTAGTGCATTTAATTTACAAATAATTAATCTGAATGACATTATAATTACTTGATTATTATGGTTAAAAACACAGCCATAGGCTGCAATATTCAATGCCTTTCTTCATTGGCAATCTAAAGCAATAAATTTCAGCCTCACAAATCTGTAATATATGCATAATAGACTTTTGGGTTATTAATTGATTGGGTAAGAAGTTTTGGGTTTTTAAATTAAAACATATTTAGAAGGAAGATGTGATAATATTAAATATGAATACGATGATATCATAAAAAATATAATAAAAAGAAATAAAGTTGAACGATTTTAAATTTTAATAAAAATTATATATGTATTTAATAAAATAAAAAATATTTTATATTATTATATCGATATAAATTATGACACATAATTTTTATATAAAACACGAATACATAATTTTATTAATATTTTATTAATACAAATATACGAATTACTATATATGGCTAAAATTAAGTCAATTATTAGGTTATTTGGATTATTCAAATCCAACCTAAGTATGATATGAGATTTAACATAATTAATTTATATAGTTACTTTTAAAAATGATGATTAATAAATTTAAAATTTGAATCTAAATGTTTACAATATCATTTTTTATTTTTAAACTGTACTTTCCTTTGTATAAAAAAAAAAAAAATCAACCTTGAGCATCCAATAAGAGAAAGCTCTGTCTGGTAGGAAAAGAATATGCAAAAGAACCAATCAATCAACGTTTTGTGGGATGACAATGATGTGTTAAATACCTAAAAATGAAGGATTTATTTTAAATATTTTATTTTTTAAATTAATAAAATGTTGGTAAACATCAAATTGTTTGAATATTAATTTATTTCCTTCTTAAAAGTAAAATAAATTAAAGATAAAAAGTCTTTTTTTAAGTATGAAAAATTGCAGACCAATCAAAAAGTAAAAGGATGACTAAGAATTAAGAGAATTCTTACTTTATAGAAAAAATCCCCCACTAAAGGGGAGAAGAGGAAGAAGTCTTGTGCTATAGTATTCAAACTAAAATCACTATTGCAAAACCAAAATGGTAGAAATCAAAGGCAATTTTAATATGGTGGGGCCATTTTTTCTTTTAAATCAAATGACTTATACGCATAAACTATTCAATGAACTTTAATTAAACCTAATAATTTTAATATAAAAATGATATAAAAAATATAAAATAGTTATATAATTTATAATTTTAATAAAAATCAAATATAAATTTAAAAAAATAAAAAAATATTTTATTTTTTGTGTAACGACATAAATTATAATATAATAATTTTCATATTTTACATATATTTGACATAAAATAAATTAACAATAACATATATATTTTCAAACCTATCTTTAATTATCTTTTCTAAGAACATCTAATCCAAATGTCCAAGGTAGACTTTTGAGGAAGATGACCTACTAGACGTTCTAACCAAAACCCTTTCCCTTTTCATCAAAGGGTGACTCTTGGCCAGAAAAAAAAGTCACCCAAGATAGGGATAGGAATGGAGCTTTCTCCATTTTTCCTTGTTTCCTTTTTCTTTTTTTCTTTTATTATTTAAGAGTGATAGAGATGGAGCAGACCAATTTGAGTGTAATTTCATAAATTTAAATGCTTCTTCTTTTTATTTTTTTTTCATTTGCATATATATTTCCTTTAGCATAGCTACAAAACACTAGATAAAATAAAATCCTTATTAATTTTATGATTTTTTTTTATTTAAAATTATCAAAATTTAAATCAACGATTATTAAGTCTAAAAATCTAATGACTGTTAGCGATGTTTATAATAATTATAAGATTTAAAAGGTACCAATTACTTATAAATTTCATAATCATAAAAAAAAAGGAGAGATTATCTCTATTTATAGGATCCAAAGTAAGCTAGCTTGAAATTTTACCATTGAAGGCAATTTTTTGGTTGTTGAATAACCTTTTTTGGTGGGTGAGGTCTTTTGAAATTAAAATGATGAACTATTAACTATTAGTTTGAAAATTGTTACACCCCAACGGCCTTTTAACTACTGTTTAATTGCTCTTTTTTTTTTTTTAAAAAAAAAAAGATGTTGTTTAAGCTTATGTCTTTTGACTTTGTAATATAAAGTTATGTGCACAAGCAATTCCCACATTCTCCAACAAAATATAGAAAATTATTAGTAATTATTAAACAAATTTTAGAACATTTTGGTTGCTTTTTCTGTATTAAACATGCCCTTGTCATTGACAATAATCTATGATATATATATAGTAAAATTGTTTAAAGTTTTCATTATTGATTCAATCATATTTAATTTGAAAATTTTGGGTTTCCAGTTTTGTGGCATTTTCATTGATAATTATAAGGAAAATTGCCTTGGAAATGATGAAATTTGCTTTCTTCTGCATTTTGAATGCAAATCTTTGTTCTTATTGCTTTGGGACCTAAAACATATGGAAGCTGAAAATTGAATTAATTAATTTGTACCTTACAACAAGGAAGAAAGAGGAAAAACTATGGGAAAAAACAAAAACAAACAAACTCTTAATTAATTTGTAAACTACAACAAACTTGAATGTAAAATTTCATTGTTCATATATAAGAGTTAGACTTATAATTTTAAACACAATCGGTGATATAAAAAATATATATAAATAATATAATTTTAACTTAAAATTTAATTTAATTAATTTATATAATTATTTTTAAAATGTAACATTTAATTAATTTAAAATTTAAATCTCAATATTTATAATTTTTTTTTCTTATTTATGATCTCTTTTGTACAAAATAAAAAAATTAAATTAAATTTTAATTAAATTTGTATATATATTTAGCAAAACAAAAAATAAATTTTATATTTAATGTGTGGACGCGAATTGTAAAATAATAATTTTTACATTTTACACTTGTTAGACGCAAAATAAACATATATATAAAGAGAGTAATAATCCACTTACACTAATGTAAGTTTTACACTCTTTTTTATTCTTAGATCAAAATTAAATTCATGATTAATTTGGATCAAAATAATACTTTAATATGTGCCATCTAGATACAAAGATTAAAAAAGAACATAAAACTTACGCTATCATATAAGTGGATCTCTCCTATATATAATATACACACATGCACGAATTGATAATATTTATTATTTAAATTTTTATTATTTTATTACAATGTATATAAAAACCTTTAAAATTAAAACTAAATAATTATTAAAACTCTTACGTTTTATTATAATTAATTAAATCGTCGAATATTTATTTTCATTATAATAAATCTTTAAATATTTATTTTTATTTAGTTAAGCCATCGGAAATAAGAGTTGGTAGTTAACCAATTTATATCTAAAAACTTCAATTTGTCAAACTAGATATTTTTAAGTTTAATTGATTGTAATACAACGATAAGAATTTAAATGATTATTTATGCCAAAAACTTTCTTTCACTCCATTTTGTTTTCCATGAACAACCTGATGCTCATATTAATTGGAGACTCCCAATTAATTGAACAATTTATTGCCTTAGGGGATTTTATCATGGTCTAAAACGTTTTCCTTTTTTGCTTGAGAATCATATTAATTGGAGTGTCCCAAGTCCCAACCAACTTGAGTCAGATTCATAGGGCCTTCATGAATTCTATTGATATTTGATCCTCGTTTACATTGGTCGTTGACTGGTTGTTGTGAAACTTTAGTGGCTAGCATTGATGGCTTCTTTGAACAATGAGGATAGGAATTGTTTCTTTTTTGGTTAATGTGTAAATTGAGTTTGAATTATATGATTTTTTATAAAGAGGTTTACATCCTAACTTTTTTACTCAATACATCATAAACCTAAAACACTAATTTATTAAAAATCTAATACTTTATGTCTCAACCAAAAACTTAAAAATCTTAGAAGATTAAGCCAAAATTAAGCCCGAATCACCTATTTGATGTTAAATAATTTAAAATCAAAGATAAATTCATTTGTTTTTTTTTTTGTTTAATTTTGTGTTTAAGTTTTTTAATATTTAAAATTTTAAGTTTTAAAATACGATTCAAATGTTTTGAAAATGAATTCTCAAAAATTATTGAAGGGTTTCAGAAATATCATTCAAGAACTTTCAAAATTTTATTTTCAAAAATTTTTAAAAATTTTTGAAAGTGAATTTAAGTAATTTTAAGATTTAATATTTTAATTGTATTTTCATCAAACACATTGCACTATTAACTAATGAGATTAAGTAAAATGATTACATGATAGATATAAGCCAATGTAAATATGTCACATGTCATGATTTTATTCATTAATTTTTTATCTAATCAATAAATTATTGACGGAGTTGATGTCTAAATCATGATTTTATTCAATTGATTATAATTCAAATATAATTAATTAAATTTTATCACGTAACTAAATTTTATTTATTTAAAGATTAATTTGAATTAAATAAAAGAATAATGCGTTGATTGTAATAAAATATTAATAATTTAAATGATTATTGACTTTTAATTAAAAAAAAAAAAGTATTGAAAGGACATTATAGTCATTTCACACTGACAAAGCTCCCCTCCATCAAAAGATTAAGAATTCAAAAATCTCAACGGTCATCTCCATCTCCTCCCATCAGCAACAAAAACTTTCCCTTCCCTTGTCTCTCTCACCACATTCAAATTCAAAGCCCTCTCTCTTTCTCTCTGAGATCTCAAATCCCATTTTCAAACCCCAAAAAAGAGAAAAAAACAATGAAATCAACACCAGAAACCGCCATTGCCGAGAATCGCCGTTTCCTGGGGAGCATTTCGACGTCTTCGCTTCGAAATTTGCTTCCAAAATCAAAGCTTAAGAAAAACACCAACAAAAACAATTCTGAAAACACTCCTCCCCCAGATGCCAACATTATTCAAGTAAGTAACTCCAAATTGCTTGCTTCTGACGCCTTGATCAACCCATCTGACGGTCACCGTGAAAAGTTGCCTCCTTTGGACTCTTCTATCAAGGTTTGTAGTAAACAACATCCCTTTTGAATTTCAAAAAAGAAGTTCTAATTTCTTTCTGAATTTTGATATTTATTTGAATAATTGTGTGGAATTTGAGCAGAAAGAGATTGCTGAATCTGAGGGAAAGAATGGAGAATTATGGAATCTAGATCCCTCTGTGAGGGTAAATGAAGAAACTTGATCATCAACTGTTTCTGGGGTTTTGTTAATCTTTAGCAAAGTTGAAGCTTGATGACTAATTGAAGCTGGGTTTTCAGTGAAACTTAATTTCCATAACTTTTTTTTTTTGTTTTTTACAAATAGGTGGTAGTGAGAATTAGACCCATAAATGGTGAAGAAAAAGAAGTGGATCCGACAGTGAGGAAGGTTTCTTCAGATTCCTTATCCGTTGGTGACCGGAAATTCACATTTGATTCTGTTCTTGATTTAAATTCCAATCAGGTTAGTCAGCAGTATCAGTAAAAGAAATTTTTAGTTTCTTTAAAAAAAAGGCGTTTTGACTCATAAACTGTTTGTTTTTGTTGGCTTCCAGGAGGATGTTTTTCAGCTAATCGGTGTTCCTTTGGTTAAAGATGCATTAGCTGGTTACAACACGTCAATTTTGTCATATGGACAGGTACTTTTTAGAATATATATTTGAGCTTAGCACATAGCCGTTTAAGCTAGCATCCAGCAGGTCAGGAGTTCAAGTCGTAAGACGAGTGACCCTTTCTCCTATCCCAGACTGTGACCTCCTTTGTACCAATCTATATATATATATATATATATATATATATATCTTTGATGAATATGTGTATCAAGAGAATTTGATGGTAAGTTGTGTATATGTGACCTTGATTCATGTAATACTTGTCAACAGACTGGAAGTGGAAAGACTTACACTATGTGGGGTCCACCAAGCGCCATGGTTGAGGATCCTTCACCTAGAAGCCACCAGGGGATTGTTCCTCGTATCTTCCGAATGCTGTTCTCTGAGATTCAAAGAGTATGCTTTTTTTCTTTTCCATTCTGAATTTTATTAGAAAATGAGTATTAGGACTTTGGAAGTGAAGTTCATTGATTCCTATATTTTAAATTTATAGGAGCAAGAGAACCCTGATGGGAAACAGATAAATTATCAGTGTCGTTGCTCCTTTCTTGAGGTATGTACTGGCTTGAAGGTTCGTATAAAACAATGTCTGGACTTTTTGCTTCATATAATGTGATATCTTCTGTATGATTAATTAACAGCTTTACAATGAGCAAATTGGGGATTTACTCGATCCAACTCAAAGGAACCTCGAGGTGACTGCTTGTTATTCTTTTATCCCCCTTTTCCTTGACTAACAGTATCTCAGGGTTGAATGATGTCATTTATTTGTTTTATTGGACATTGTTTCAGATAAAGGATGATCGAAAAAATGGGTTGTATGTTGAGAATTTGACTGAAGAATATGTTTCTGGCTATGAGGATGTAACTCAAATTTTGATTAAGGTAGGCAGGAAACGATTTGTTGGCACAAGTTCTCCACATAATGCTTTGGATGCATGTTTATCTAGCATCCTTTGTCCTTATTTCGTATTGATATGAAATTTTTGCTCATTGCATGTATTGATTACTCTTTTATATTTGTGTCTTACACAGGGGCTTTCAAGTAGGAAAGTAGGAACAACAACTGTAAATTCTAAGAGCTCTCGGTCTCACATTGTGTTTACTTTCATCATCGAATCTTGGTGCAAGGTACAGCTAAATCTTAATTTTCTACCACCACAGTCACCACAAGATTTAATTTTGAAGATCTTATTCTTTGGGTTGTTAGCCAGTCGGGATTAGTTCAGGTCTATGCTCAATGGGACCATATGGACTAGAATTACCAGACAAAAAATAACACTTGGTTCTTATGTTTGGTTGATCATGGATTCATACCACAGGGAGTCTCATCAAAATGTTTCAGCAGTTCAAAAACAAGTAGAATCAGCCTGATTGATCTTGCAGGACTGGATAGAAACAAACTTGAAGATGTGGGTAGACAACATGTACAGGAAGACAAAAATGTCAGGAAGTCCCTATCACAGCTTGGGTACGCTGTCATTACCTTCACCTAATCTGGAAGTCATTAAGATGATGTTGTTTAGTTGTAAACATGTTTTTAGAACTTAGATGTAACAGTCATTATTGGTTATGGCTACCGCTTCCCTATAATCTTTTTGTTTGTTTCATTGGTGTAGATATTTGGTGAACACTCTTGCAGAAGAAACTCAACCAGAAAAACCTAAAGATGCTCCATGTGGAGGTTCCTGCTTAACACATATACTGAGAGAATCCCTCGGTGGCAATGCTAAACTCACAGTTATTTGCAACATTTCTGCAGATAACAGGTATTCTAATCTAGTTACCATTTTTTTAACTTTGTTCTTTATGGAATTTTAGCACAAAATTAACTTATTTTCTTATGTACATAAACTATTATATTGTAAAACTGTGCTTCATTTATAAATGTCATTATTTGAGGGAAGCTCATTGTTTTTCACTTGCAGAAATATTAGTGAAATTTTAAGCACTCTCAGATTTGGACAAAGGATTAAATCTGTAAGAAATGAACCAGTAATAAATGAAATACTGGAAGGTGATGTCAATGGCTTGAGTGATCAGATTCGTCAACTGAAGGTAGAAAATTTTGTGCAAAATTTTTAATTTCATTTTGTATCTCTAATCACGACCTGACTAGCTGTTATCATGGTGATTACAGGAAGAGCTTATAAGAGCTAAGTCTGATGTACCTAGCTCAGTTGGGAGTAAAAGTAGATATTTTCAAGGGCGAAATGCATGCAATAGCTTGAATCAATTAAGAGTAAGCCTTAACTGCTCTTTGATCCTCCCACGAATAGATAACAATTATGAGGAAGAGCTTAATATTGGTGAAGAAGATGTCAAGGAACTATGTCAGCAGCTGGATTATTTGCATAGCTCTTGTGAAACAAACTTGGGAGAACCATCTGACAAGAGAGGTTCGATTCAGTCTTTTTCTGTAAAGGAAAGTTGTGAGGGGGACTTGCTGAGCGAAGATGACATTCGTTGCCCAGAAGAAACCGGGATAGAAGAAATTGATGTAAAGGAACTTTCAATCACATCAAAAACCTTGAAGGCTGTTGATCCTTCAATCAGAAATAGCATCTCCATCAGCTCATGCCATCGGTCTTCAACCCTCCAAGAGCCTACTTTGTCAGAGTCTCCAAAAATTGGAAATAACCCAAGGAAAAGCATGGCTATCCCATCAGCACTTTTGGCCAATCAGAACAATGTATCAGAGAGTTCAGAGTTACGGCAGTCACTCAAACATAGTGAGCATATCAGGTCCTCGTTACATTCAAGCAAGATATTTTCAGGACCAACAGAATCTTTGGCTGCTAGCCTTCAAAGAGGCTTGCAGAGTATTGATTATCACCAGCGTAGTTCAGCTTCCAACCGATCTCCAGTTGCCTTCTCTTTCGACCACTTGATGCTGAAACCTTGTCCAGAAGCAGACAAGGCCAATGCTCCTGTTGATGTTTCTTCTACTCCTTTGCTTTGTTCATCATGCCAAAGGAAGTTTGACAATAATAAGCCCAATGGGGTTCCGGATAGCTTGAAGACATGGAATGATGCAGTCAACAACCAACAAACAGATGGCAAGACCACAGTATGTTCAGACTTCTTGTTCAATGGAGCATCTTCTCTTTTTATGTTTTCCTTTCTATACTCATTAGTTTTGTTGCTTCTATTTCAGGCTGTAGCAAGTGATTTGGCAAAAGCCACTGAAAGAGAGAAGGCACTTGAAAGTGTTTGTATGGAGCAAGCAGCCAAAATTAAGCAGTTAAATCATGTGGTAATAATCTTATTCACCTCTTTAAAAACAAGAGGCCTAAAACCTGGATTGTATTTGACGGTCTGAACTACTACAGGTAGAGAAATACAAACGTGAGAGAGGAAATTCTGCAATTGAACATGCACCGGAGTCTCCGAAGAATGAAATAATACCATTTGAGCAGTCCAACACTGGTGAAAATGGAAAAGAATATTTTGATAAGAATGAAAAGGAAGCAATTCTTCAGGAAATTCAAACATTAAAAGGCAAACAGCAGTCATATACTGCTGCATCTCCAAGAAAATCTACTGAACAGCTGAGATCCTCTTTGTTGTCACGTTCCATTCAATTGCGAAAAAGCGTTGACTGTCGTGATAACAGTGAGGAAGAACTTGAAAGGGAAAGACGACGATGGATGGAAATGGAAAGTGAGTGGATATCATTGACTGATGAGCTCAGGATGGACCTTGAATCCAACCGCTGCCGTGCAGAGAAAGTAGAGATGGAACTGACTTTAGAGAAAAAATGCACCGAGGAGTTGAATGATGCTCTTAGCAGAGCTGTCATTGGACATGCTAGAATCATTGAACACTATTCTGAACTGCAAGAAAAATACAATGATCTGGTTGCAAAACACCAAGCAATAATGGAAGGGATAGCAGAGGTTAAGAGGGCAGCAGCAAAGGCAGGAGCCAAAGGTCATGGTGCCCGTTTTGCCAAAGCCCTTAACGCTGAGCTTTCAGCTCTTAGAGTGGAGAGGGAGAGAGAGAAAGAACTCTTGAAAAAGGAGAACAAAAGTCTCAGAATCCAGCTAAGAGACACAGCAGAAGCTGTTCATGCTGCTGGAGAACTCCTAGTCAGGCTGAGAGAAGCTGAGCAAGCTGCCTCAGTTGCAGAGGTAACTTGAGTGAAAATTTACATTTTTAGTGATAAGAATTGCATTATTTTTTTAACTTACCAGGATTGGAACTAAGAATCCAGCGCTCTACCAACAGTCCACGCAGCTGTTGGCATAAGAACAGCATAATTGATCCTTACCTTTAAGTGCCATTTTACCTTTCATTGCAGGAGAACCTTTAAGTGCCTTTTACCTTTCATTGCAGGAGAATTTTAGTTAGGAGAATTTCAGTAATGTTCAGCAAGAGAATGAAAATTTACATTTTTAGTGATAAGAATTGTATTATTTTTTAGCTTGCCACCAGGATTGGAGCTAAGAATTCAGCGCTCTACCAACAGTCCACGCGGCTGTTGGCATAAGAACAGCATAATTGATCCTTACTTTTGAGTGCCATTTTACCTTTCATTGCAGGAGAACTTCAGTAATGTTAAGCAAGAGAATGAAAAGTTAAAGAGGCAAGTGGAGAAGCTTAAAACAAAACACAAGATGGAAATGATCGCTATGAGCAGTACCTTGCAGAAAGCAGATTGCCAGAATCCAGCACTGCAACCATATGAGGATTCAGATGTATACACACAACAGTTCAATGCAAATGATGATCAGGCTGGGAGGGCAGAATTTTGGAGGCAATATATCAGAACATTACTACTAATTCAGCCAAAGAAATCAAGAGACCACTACTTGGGTCAAAATAAATACATGTAGTACATTCTTGTATTGCATCTATAATCATTTTCTATTTTTCTTGTATTCTATATGTACATTTTTTGTTCCTTAACAGTTACTATTATTCTTTTTGTGTTATGATTTGCTATTGAAAATTTCCCCTTTCTTTTAGAAATTATTGTGAAACTAACCTAAATAATATCATTGAACGTAATTGTCAAAAAAAAAAAAATTTCTTTTATAAATATGATGAATTTGAGAACTCCATGAATAAGAACAAAAATGAGAAAGAGCCTGTTGAAGTTCTAATCTGGGATGAGAAATTTTTTTTTATTATTATTAGAATTTATCAAATTATCTATTAAATACTACATTTAATATAAAAAGCTTAGGAATTCGTGTTTGTGTCCCTATTTATTTTGTATTAAAATCATAACATAATTCATATTAATATTTCAAATATTAAAGATATTTTTTATTTTTATCAAATTTATATATTTGTTAAAATTTAAAATTGTATCATTTTATTTTTTTATTATTTTCATATTTTATTACATTGTTTTATTTAAAATTATATAATACTATTACTAATTTAACTAACCTGCGGTGATATAAAAAAAAAAAAAGTAACATCGGATAAAACTCCCATGAAATAAGGAAGATAAAACGACGTCGTGTGCAGGTAACCAAAATTAAATATCGGTTTTTTTTTTTTTTTTTTTTTTTTCTCGAAGAAGCGATGTCTACACAGGGAAAGTGAGGTAAACGGACATTTTTGAACAAAAAAATGGCTAATTTGGATTCATCGAACTCTTCCCCTGAAACAGACCTTGAAACAAACCCTAACCCTAATCCTACTTCATCAAAAGCTATAGTCCCAGCCCCTCCTAATTCCAATTCCCCTGCCGTATGCCTCTTGCAATTCGCAGGAGACTCCGCCGCCGGTGCCTTCTTGGGCTCCATCTTTGGCTATGGTATCTTTTTTCTCTTTTCTTCTGAAAAGATTCGACTCCCCATTTCTCTATTATTTTATAAACTTTTAATAATATCCCCTTTCTGGGTTTTCTTGGCTTCTGGCAAAGTTTGGTAAAGAACAAACTTTTGGGAATTTTTCATTGAATTTTTTGGTGGATTTTTTTGTTTAGTTTTGATGTTATTTGTTACTCTGTTTAGACTTTTAGACGAAGTGTGGCTTTGGGTCATTTTGAATACAGCTTAGGAGATTTTTATGGAATTTTTTGGTATTATTGTATACGATTTGAAACTTGAAAGTGGTAGAATAATGTGCTTATGGAATTATTGGTAGTAGTTGAGTGGATAAGATAGTCATAGTGTTTAAACAATGGGTTTTTTCAGCATCTCAAAGTGTGATTTAGATTGAATAATTTCCCTAAAAATGAGCTCGAGTGTTTGGATAGTGGTGACTTGGGATTCTTTTATTGCCCTGTCTTTAAGCTTGAATGTTATTACCCTTCTGGGAACTTTGGACCTTTAAGAGATTTAGCTATTACGAATTCGAGCTTGTGACAATTGAGGAGTAGGATTGTATGTTTTCTTTCCAGTTCTAGGTAGCCATGGAATGTATGTTCACTGCCATGAATTCTTTTTTCTTTTTTTCTTTGGGTGGTAAGACCTAGCATTTCAAACACAGCATGCTGACACGACAAAAAAGCAATATGAAAAAAGCACAAAGGTGACACAGTTTAAAATTTTAGCAAAAACGATTTATGTTTAACAAAAACAAAAGAATGTATTACATGTTTTCTTTGTCAACATGAATTGTGATACACAATTTTCTAGTAAAACATGATATGTATAAACGAATTGCGACATGAATAAATGAATTGTCGGGTACTGCAACTTCAAGGTTAGGGCTTAACCTTTAAGCAATCTTTTGGGCTGGATATTCGACTTGACCGTCTGAACTTGGACTCTTAATTAACACTTTGTTGTGGCTCATTTGTCTTCTAGAAACCAAGTCTATACTCTCTTTACTTTTCTCTTTCTTCATTTGTCTCAGGTTCGGGATTGATTAAAAAGAAAGGCTTTAAAGGATCCTTTGTGGAGGCAGGATCTTGTGCCAAGGTATGAGAATGTCATGATTCCAGAATAATTTAATTAACTTGAAGTTTTTCCGCCTTGAGTCTAAGGTCTGTCATATATTTTCCCTTTATAGACATTTGCTGTTTTGTCGGGCGTACACAGTTTGGTTGTTTGCTTTTTGAAGAGGCTGCGGGGAAAAGATGATGGTATGCCTTGTAAAAATCAGAGTAACACCGCTTATATTGTACATGGTATGTTGATATACGGTAATGCTGGCTTTCTCTGCAGCTATTAATGCTGGTGTAGCTGGATGTTGCACTGGACTTGCCCTAAGCATCCCAGGTATGAGAATCTCAAGGTTCATTTCTCAGCTGTAAAATACAGGCTTCCGTTTGAACCCTGGTTTTTCTTGCAATGGTTATTCAGGTGCACCCCAGGCACTTCTACAGAGCTGCCTCACATTTGGGGCATTCTCTTTTATCGTTGAAGTGCTTAACAAGCAGAGGCCAGCATTGGCGCATTCGCATTCTGTGAGAAACGAGAGCGGGAACTACAGGGGACCTCGTCCTTTAGTACTCCCTCTTTCATTCCCTCTTCCAGATGAGCTGAAGCGAGCTTTTTCTTCTTTCTGCGAGACCTTGGTAAAACCAAACAACGGCAGGTTTCCTACAGCTAACTGACGTGGATCCATTGTTATTTGTCTCTTATTTGTAGATTGTTGCAAGCGGTGAGAATGTACACTGAAAGTTTAGTTGAGAAATTTGAATCTTTTGCAAGCAGGAATCTGAAATTATTTCTTTCTTGTGTTGCATTTCATTTCTCAATTGATTCAATTGTTTGGTCTCTGGTTTTAGTATATAGGATGGATCAAAATTTGGTTTGTCCTAATTACCAATTTCTCACAAGTATTTTGATTGTGTGGTCTCTCTGATTGCTGAACATAAGAATTGAAAAAAAATACAAAAGTTACATGAATTAAAATTTTAACAAATATCAGTTTAATGAAAACAATAAAATATATTTTGTATTTTACATGTTAATACGAATTATGATATAATTTTCATATAAAATATAATATAAATATATGAATTATCAAGGAGAGTTACAGATCCTTTTTATCATAGTGATTTTTCAGACTTACAAATGGCTTATCAATAAGGGATTATGAAAATTGGAACTTGAAAGTTTCACATTTAAATCTCAAACTTTAAACACTTAGACCAATTCCTATTGACAATTAGTGTCACAGATCTTCCACAAGGATGAAACGTCTCCCATGGAGACAGTACCCCAATCGTCACAATCATCAAGAAAATCTCTCACTGAAACGTAAGAACCCAAAGAAACCAACACTTCAAACCCCATTGAAACACTGACCAAATGAATCAAAGACTGGTTTTTTGCATACACTGATTGATTCAAGGAAGTGGGTTATAACTTATGAGCTATAAAAACAACAAAAGGGAAAGATGGAATCAAATTGTTATCTTAAATTTTGCAATAATTTGGTCCCAATTTGCTTTGCTTGTAGCCATTGTTGAGCAAAGTTAGGTGCTTTTGTTGGTTCCAATCTGCTATAAGACAATTTTTTTAAGGTTCTACATAAATAAGAATGTTGTCATCTTTTAGTTAACTATTTTCCAAGGAAGTGCTTCAATGCTAGTAATTAGTAAATAGTAAATCATTCCTCCAAACTCAAAAACAAAGAGAAATTTTTTTAATGCAATTTTCTAAACTTTTTTTTTTATAATAAAATAGGGAAATGATTTTTAGTGCTCAATTTATAATTAATATATTACTTTTTTATTAAATTTGCTGAAAATAACGCATTGGATATAAAAAAATTTAAATAGTTTTTTTTTTAATAAAAAAGTCGTAACCTGATATAAAAAAAAAATTATTAGTATTATGATTTGAATTACAAATCTACTAAATATCACATTTTAAATATAAATATATGAACTAAATAAATTAAATTTTGAATTCAACATTTTAACTAATCTTAAGCAATGCATATAATCATCTGTTAATAAGATCCAATAAAATATCACATGAAAGTTATTATAAAAATTTTTCATTGAAAAAATTTATATTAAATTTATATCACATAAAAATAAGGATGTAAAGGAATAGAATATAAATAAATTTGGTATGTTCATCATCTATTTGTTTAATTAATAAATATTAAAATGTTGTTTATATTTATTTGTTAAGCTAAATATAAAAATATAAATAAACAAAAATCGAGTCTATTTATAAATTATTCATTAAGTATTCTCTTTCTTTACGTTTTTATATTACAAACGAATCAAATATTAACGAATTTTACTATATTCGTGATATGTTTTTTTAATTAATGAATTTTAAAATGTCATTCATGATCATTTATTAAACTTAATAAATGAAAAAAAAATCTGAAAATATTCACGAACTGTTTATTAAAATTTTGTTCTTTTACATCTTATATATGAAAATATAATTTTTCTAAAATTTAAAAAATATACCAAAGCATCCACTAGCTGTTGGGCCATTATAGATATCATAAATCCAAATATTTTATTGGGCCAAGGCCTATATTGACAATTTGACTACTTTACCCTAGCTAACAAAACCCAGCCCAAAGTCCAGACAGGACAGAAAAGTAATTCTAGATAAACTAGGGTTTTGTGTATAACAAAGCTTCAAATCTCCGCCCATCACTTCCTCTCAAACCCTAGCGTCCATCTCCTCTGAGATTCAGCACAAAAAAGCCCTCAAAAAGCTTGAACTTTTTACCTCAGCCAAAATGGGTATTTCTCAAATTCCTCTAATTTTAATTAAATCTCTTCTAAATCATGTAATTTTCTTACTTAATGAGTTTAATTTTTTTTTTGTTTTTTCTGATAGGTATTTCTCGTGATTCAATGCACAAGAGGCGTGCCACTGGTGGCAAAAAGAAGGCTTGGAGGAAGAAGAGAAAGTAATTTGCAAAACCCTTTTTTCCCTTTTCTTTTGTTTTTGTTTTTCTTGATCATTGGCTCTGTTTGGTTGATTAGAAAGTTGATTTAGAATTATTTTAAAAAAATGGGGGTTTTGTTGTAATTTACTTTACTAATGTTCTAGTACCGGGCCTTTAGCTTTAGATTTAGCTTCATTTTATTGCCATGAGGAATTTTATTGAGCTTTAATTTGATTTGTTTTGGTAAATTGATTCAAATTGCCGATCATGACCATAAGCTATGCTATTTATTTTATGACCCTAAAAGTTGATCCTTTCTAGTTTGTTTAGATGCCAGAGACCTTGTCTGGTTTCTTTTCTTGTTGGATTGTTTCACTTTATGCTTTCTATCTGAGTTTATGTAGTTTTTTTAATTTTTGGTGGTTTGTGTTTTAAGGTATGAGCTTGGAAGGCAACCTGCAAACACGAAGCTGTCAAGCAACAAGACGGTCAGGAGGATTAGGGTTCGTGGTGGAAATGTGAAGTGGCGTGCTCTGAGGCTCGACACAGGAAACTACTCCTGGGGAAGTGAGGCTGTGACTCGTAAGACCAGAATTTTGGATGTGGTGTACAATGCATCCAATAATGAGCTGGTTCGTACTCAAACTCTGGTGAAGAGCGCTATTGTTCAAGTTGATGCTGCTCCATTCAAGCAGTGGTATCTCCAGCACTATGGTGTTGACATTGGTCGCAAGAAGAAAACAGCAGCAGCAGCCGCCAAGAAAGAAGGGGAGGTAGGAGTATGGTTTTTTATGTTTTGGTTACATCGATACTGTTTCAATAGATCAGTTCCTGTGATGATGAGTTAATCATTTTAATATTTTGGTGTCATGGAAATTGAACCTTGGTATGATCTGCTTAAGCATAAATCTGTTCTACAAAGGAGGGAATGATGTTTGTTAGTGGGTAGCTGATATTAGTTTTTGTGCGGATCTACTTTTCACAACCGATTCACTCTTGCTATTATGTTGTATGTGCATATGGAGGTTAGTGCCATAATGCTAAAATATTTATATCAGTTGGTTTCTGCACCTTCTCCGATTTGGGTCCCTAAAAATAGAAATTAGGTAGCAATCCAGGTTATATTGTTAGGCAAGACTTCAGATCAAGCATAATGATGTGTCTATGGTTCTTTTAATCTTTGACTGATCACTTTGCTGTTTACAAATTTACATTGTTTCACTTAATTTGTGTATAGGAAGGTGAAACTGTTACCGAGGAGGTGAAGAAGAGCAACCGTGTCTTGAGGAAGCTGGAAAAGCGTCAGCAGAATCGGAAGCTTGACCCACATATTGAGGAGCAATTTGGTAGCGGCCGTTTGCTGGCTTCTATCTCTTCAAGACCTGGTCAATGTGGCCGCGCCGATGGGTATGTCATGATAGATTTAAATTACAGAAGCCTCAATCTCTCTTTTTACTCTAGGCATTATGTTCCCTATGGTAACTGGGTTCATGAATTATGGCCACCAAACAGTCTGAGCAGCAAGGTACATTGGTCAAGGTTTCATGATTACCTTCTGAAATTGTTTTGCAAGAACAGGAATCACTTTCGGACATCGAATAATTACCCTAAATAATAATCATACTGACTATTATCATTCTTGTTCTAATATGATGTCAAATGGGTTTGACAGATATATCTTGGAGGGCAAAGAGCTGGAGTTCTACATGAAGAAGATCCAGAGAAAGAAGGGAAAGGGAGCTGCCTAAAAGTTTTGTTTCTTGAGGTTTCACATCTTAATCTCCTTTTTTGCCTTACTTTCACCTTTTTAGAACATTGAAAGATTGTGTTAGTGTTGAATTCAGTTGGAATGTAGACTAATGGTTTGTCCTATTCAACTATGATCTTAAACTTTATAAATGCAGACTCTTTTGATTGGTAAAGACATCCAAATTCAATCCAGACTCAAAATAATCCAAATTTGAGATGATTTTGATCCTGCACACTTACTATCTCTATTTACAATCATGGAAAATGCACTGTTGATATGGAAAAAACTCTTATAATATCACTCTCATTTAAGAAATATTCATCCTCAACTCACCGAACGATACAGTTGTTATCATAGAATACAACATAACAATCATCTGAAAACCTCCCACATTCAAAGAAGATGAGGAAAGAAAAATAACATATCCAAGGGTATAAACAGAGCTTTCGAGAAATTTTTTTGAAGAATAAGTTTGGTTTTTATTCATTTATGTTTGTTTATTAAGTTTAACAAATGAGCTTAAAATAATATTTTTATGATCATTTATTAAACAAATCAAACACAAATAAGATTTATTTAATTCATTTATATTCGTGAATAAATTTGTTTTAAAGTTTATTTAAAATTTGTTTGTTTGTTTGTTTATAATAATATTAACAAAATTATTTTTTTCCTTTAATCTCATTTTAAAAAATTTTATATTCATTTAAATTTTATTTATTTAAATTTATTTAATTATAATGTGTTTATTGTTCATAAATATATTCATTTATATACGTTCATAAGCATATTCGTTTAATATTCACGAACGAACTTATTTAATTTAATTAAAATGAACACGAATCGAACACAAGTATCTTACTGTTTAAACAAAACGAACTCAAACTAACAAAATAATTTTCTTACTGAACACAAATTAAGCCTCTAAAAATAAATGAACAAATCACAAATATATGTATATATATATATTTATTTGTTTATTCATATTCAGTTCTGTTACAATGCCAAATGTGTCCAGATTTGTTTCAAAGAAAAAAATTGAACTTACACCGGTAAGATTACGTTTAAAGATGCAACATTTCAGACTCAAAATTTTCCATTTTGAATGAATGAATAATGCCCAAATCCATCAACAACCATGATGATTTCGCCGTC